AGAGCCTAGGCTCTAAACAATCAAAATAGAGCGTACCTCCAAAATTTCACTAAAAGAGGTTGTTTTGATGTCCAAATATCCTCCAATTGATCATCTCGACATCAAGATGCATGGGCTTAAGAAAAAAATTGATTTCAAGTTTTGGAAGTAGTGCATCTTGTAACTCATTTTTGGACCGTCAATTTTTAAGTTATTCAAAGTTTCATAGATCTGATCTATCTACACTATTTTTAAAGCATTAAATTTATAATTAAATATAAAAATATATTTTAAGGCTAGTCAAAGATTCTTAATTTTGAAACCACAGTTTTCGACACTATTTGAAGGTAGGCTTTGATTTAATTAGTTAGAGACTCAACTCCATATAAACCGTGCCCTACAATTTTTATGGCAACTATTCACATAAAATAAAGGTGCCCGTTTGTATAGAGCCTAGGTTCTAAACAATCAAATTAGAGCCTACCTTCAAATAGTATCAAGAAATGTGGTTTCAATATTGAAAATATTTGTGATAGTCTTAAAATATAGTTTCATCTTTATTTATAAAGTTTAAAGCTTCAAAAATAGTGCAGATTGATAGATTTATGAAAACTTGAAATCTTGAAAATTGACGGTCCAAAAATGCGTTACAAAATATACTATTTTTCAAACTTGAAATCCACTTTGTTCTCATGTTCATGCATCTTGATGTCGAGATGGTCAATTTGAAGATATTTAGGCTTCAAAACAACCTCTTCTAGTGAAATTTTTGAGCTAGGCTCAAAGTTGATTGTTTAGAGCCTCGGCTCTATATAAACTTTTCCCTATATATATATATATATATATATATATATAGGAAAGTATATGATGGGATTAGTTACCTTTGTACAAGGTGGTCACAATTAATCTTGAATGTGAAATTGGATGGCTTACATTATTTTATTGACCAAATTCAAAAAAAATTTCTCAAACTTTGTGACATACCCAAGTTATCAGATTTCACATCAGATGGTTGTAAATAATTGTGACATCCCCATACCAAAGGTAAATGATTGTAAATAATTGTAACTTCCTTACATAAAAAATTAAGCGAAAAGGCAAAATTGTGATTTGGGTGTGAAATCATTACCTATTGTTTCTTTATATAATAATTTGACTTGCAATTAAAGGTCGGTAACTTCCTCAGCTTTAAGAATGTATTTTATTATCACAATTTTGCCTTTCCGCTTAAACTAAGGGACCTGAATTCTTTTGAAAGGGATATAGCCTTGAATTACAATGTAAATTACAAAAAAACTGCATTTAGCTAATTTTAATTTACAGTGAAATTTCAAAAATCAAGATTAAAATGGGGTGTTTTAAGTTCTTAAAAGTCTCGAATATAAAATCATGTATTTGAGGTATGTTTGGATAACAATTAATTTTATCTAGAATATATTATCTAACTTGAAATTAATATGAATTTGATTTTTTAACTTTGTTGTAATTTTAGCTATTTTGTGGCTAAAAATGTATGATTTTCAACAAATTCATTGATAGAATGAAATAACAAAATAAGATTTGTGTAGCCAACCTCAAATAGTTGGGATAATGCTCGGACAATGATGATGACAACTTTCATTAAAGCAAAATCAAGGGAAAATATCTCCACCCCATTTTTAAGTTTTAGATCTCAATAGACCAAATGTTTCAAAACATATCTTGAGTCATAAAACTTCTAAGTTTTATATCTTTTAACCCTCTAAACTAACTTTATGCCATTTAAACTTATTTTTTTCCTAAACCGATATAAAAAAGGTATATCATTCCTAAATACCATCATTTCTCTCTCTTCACATGATTTTCCCTAATCTCTCTCTCTCTACATATTTTCTCACTCTCTCCCGCTTGTCTCTCACACTTTCTCTCCCCTGTTAGAGAGGCAAAGATGATGAATGTTAGATAGGGAGAAATTTGAGGAGATTGTATCACGTAAAGAGATGAAAGATTTAGAATGAGCATGTTTTTTTTATATTTGTTAGGGTTAAAAAAATAGTTAAAAGTAGGTAAAGTTAGTCGGAGGGTTAAAAGATATATTTTAAATCTTTTGATCTATTGAAATATAAAAATAAAAAATAAAAAGTAGGAGGATATCCCATAAAATGAATTCTTTTTGTTATGAAATAAACTTATATTAATTCAGATATCTTTATAATAGACACTGTCAATAATAATGAATTATTAAGATAATATTAGGGAAAAAATCCATATAAGGTGCTAACCTTATATTGTAGCAGGAAGGTGCACATAAAAAAGCCTACTAGATAATGTTGTTTTGATGTTGGAAAACCCTTTAATTGATCATCTCGATATCAAGATTCACAGATAATTAAAAAAAAAAAAAAGATTTCATAACCCAAAAAATTCATTTTTTAAAAAATTATATGAATCGTCCATTTTCAAGTGTTTCAAATATTTATGGATTTAATTGATCTCCCATTTTCAGAACTTTAAATTTTATAATTGTTTTCACGCCTTAAAGCATTTCAACACCGAAAGTGCATCTTTCGCAACCAATTCTCTAAAATAATGGATATATACTCTACGCAAATTGATATACCCAAATTTAGGGATAAAAAGAAGTTTTGGAGTTCACATGCCTTTTTGGATAAGCCCTAAATTTAAATGAAATTTTAGCTATTAGAATCAACACTTTGGGTTATGCCAAATTTAGGTAAGGCAAATTGTTTAATGCGGGATGGACTGCATGACTACATATGCAGCCCAAAAAGTATAAAACATCCATCTTTAAGATGGATGCAAGTAGGTATTCTATCTACAAAAATAAAAACTAACAGTTTAAATGTTTTTTTACTAAAACTATTACTTCTAGTTTTTAAATTTATTTATTTTTCATATTCATAATCTCTGTCCTTAAAAATTAAATCAAAAAATCTATCTCAAAAATAATTTTATTAAGAGGCCTCAATTCTACATATGCGAGTTTGGCCACCTGACAAGATTACCATCTCCCCTCTTGTGCATATAACTGCTTGAGCCCCTTAGCCAAGTACTTTCTCTCTCGGCACGTGCCCACCGTGAACCCCCAAAACGCCCTGCACCTATGCCAAGCCCATGCACTATATCTCCATTAGGTCTCCTAAAACAAGTTAAAATTTTGAAAATCTACCCTAATATTAGTATAATACGTACGCGATTACTTTCTCTCTCTAGCAAGGGCTAGGTGCCCGGCACAGCCAAGTCAGCTCGAACTTAAAAAAATAGGTCCTGGGTCCCAAAATGTGGCCTGAGGGGCCAAGGCTACAATAAGAATGGCTCAATTTCGCTCGCCCTGGCCTTCTTTTTTTTTTTTATTAATTTTTTTTTTTTATCTTAGCCCAACCTTGCCCAAGATAGTGCTAGAGCCGGACTTGAGCGAAGGACAAGGCCTCCTCAGCACAGTCAGGGCCAAGCCGGGATTGGGCCAGCCATATAGAGATTGGAGAGAGGTTGGCATGTTGCCTCGCCTCTCTCTTCAAGAGTTGAACTCTCTTAGCCCACTTGTTTTCCCATTACTTTCTCTCTCTACGTAACCACTCCACATACCAAAAAGGGCAAAGTATATATATATATATATATGGCCGAGGATCTAAACAATCAAATTAAAACTAACCTCAAAAATTTTGATGGAAAAAGTTGTTTTGATGCTCAAATATCATCAAATGGATCATTTCTACATTAAAATACATGGACATGAGAAAAAAAAGATTTTAAAATTTAGAAAATATCACCAAATTGATTATCTGAACATCAAGATGCATGAACATGAGAAAAAAAAAATTTCAAATTTTAAAAATATTGAAACTTGTGACACTTAAAAAGATTTCAAATTTAAAAAATATTGTATCTTGTGACACTTTTTTGGATCATCAATTTTCAAAATTTTCATAAATCTATTTGATCTACCCTATTTTTTAAACTTTAAATTTTATAATTAAAGATGAAAATATATTTTAAGACCATCACATAGATTTTCAGTATTAAAACTACATTTCTCGACACTATCTTAAGGTGTGTTTCACTCTGATTATTTAGAGCCTCGCCTTTATACTAACCGCACCGATTAAAAAAAAAAAAATAAAAATAAAAATAATATTATGAGGGAAGAAAAGTCCCCAAGGTCCAAGTATAAGAGACCAAAAGCACTCTCGCTATGCAAATATCCACTTGGTGCCGTCACGCTGACAAAGGTTTTGATTTTTGACATTCCTTTATATTTTCTTAAGCGATAAGAATACCCCTGACCTGATTTGAATTCCGTTCAACGGGGTTTATCGGTAAAATCACAAATATAACCTTTAAGAAAAGACGTCCTATGCAACTTACCTCAATCAAACACTTTTTCTTTTCTTTACCTTAAAAATTACATTCTTAGCAAATACTTATATATATATATTTTTTTTTTACAAAAAACTTTTTTTTATATATAAAAAATTAATTTTATTCAGACATTCACTTACATGCTATATCAAAAGCTACATGGACTGCCGGACCTCTATATAAACTAAACAAAATACCAAACTGCTTTTTGACATTGTTGGATGGTATGTTAGATCGGTTGTTAGACCGCATAGACCAATTATCGAACAGCTCTTTGACAATTTAAACCAGTTGTCGCTTATCGAACTGCTGCTTTCCCGCTTGTTTTTACAACCAGACAACCTTTTTGTGTTTTATGGGAAAAGTCAAGTATTCTTTGTTAGAAGGGAGCAAGAGCGTGTATTTTGATCCAACAAGCTATAACGTTTTGATTGGGGGTATTCGTTAGAAACTTTATTTTTTTGGTAAAACATTGTAATAAAAATGTTTGTGGAGGGTAGGTTGTAAATGAAATTCAATGAATTTTTTATTTTTATTTAGATTTTCCTTACTTTATCTATATTGGTCTAATAAAAGTACCAGCCTCGGAACCTAGTCAAATTTACTCTTTTAACTTTTCTTTTCGTATAAACCCCGCTTATTCTCTCTCTAACTGAACTACCTGATCTCCAACGCCACTTGTTCTCTCTCTAACACAGAGCACAAGCGGCCCACGGCTAAAGCCTCTCTCTCTCTCTCTCTCTGTAACCCAATTGCCCTGTCTCAATCATTGACAGCCGCCTGTGTTGTTGATGGCAACATCTGGACCATAGCTTTAATGGGGATTCTTTTTTCTTTCTTTGTAGTATATTTTTTTTTGTTGATATGCCCGTATAAAAATCTTCTCAGAACCATTGAAAAAGTTGGGACCTTTCCTGGTTGGTTGGATGGTTTGAGGGAGAAAGGGGAGAGAGAGAAGGGGAAGAGAGAGAAGGAGAAGAGAGAGAAGCGGAAGAAGATGCAGGCATGCAATTGGCTTTGTTGGACCGGAGGATCTGAATTCGATGCAGCATGTGATGAGTTTAATGGACCAGAGCCCTTCTCCTTACCATCTCCTATCCCTTCTTGGCCTCCAGGTATCTAAATTAAAGATGGGTTCTTTGTGGGCTTTCATAGTTCGCTTCTCTCCAGTAGTTAGTATTCTGGTTATCGATTTTTTGTTTTTTTTTGGGCTGGGTTATTGTGGAGTTTTGGTTCTTAATTATGTTGGCGTATTAAGAGATTGATTGGGAAAGGTAAAATTAGGGCGTTTTTGTAGAAGCAGTAAGGTGGGTTAAGTTTAATTATTGATAATTTTGATTACGATTGTTGGTTTTTCCTTTTTTTGGGTAAATTTGTTGGTTTTTCTTTCCTTTGTTTTTTGTCCTTTTTTTGGATTCTAGTGTTCTTTAGACTATATTTCTTTGAGCGAGTCATTAATTCTGGTACTTGATTATGTGTTAATTGATTTAAATGGGGGAAGTCCGTTTTTATACTTTTCATGGTACTTCTTTCATATTATTTTTAAACAACCATCACTAATGATCATGGCGTTTTCTTAGACTTCGCTTCTTTTTTACTGTGATAAAAAGCTGTGGTTTTTTTCTGTCCATGTTATTGATGGTTTTTGATCTGTGGCTGTATTGGAGACGTCTTGTTATGAGTGGCCTTTTAATGAGGTTGTCATGATCAGCTAAATGGGGGATCAAATTTATGGAGAACATGGTTTTTTTTCTTTCATTTTAATTGCTTTCCCTGACGTGAAACAAGTATTGTTTAGTTCTCTTTCTTTCCGATTTCTCTTTTGGGTAATGATCTTAACTCCCAATGGCATGGGTATAGCGTGTTTTATGTCTCAGTCTTGAAAAGAATTGGGCTATTGATTTTTGTTTCCATAAAAATGACGGATTTGGTTATGTAAAGCTCTCTAGAATTTGCAGCCCTGCTGGCCTTTTTGAGCTGTGCAAGTGATTATCATTCCGAGAGATTTTTCAACTGCCCTTGATCATATATGAACTTCATGACATTTGGAAAATTGTGGTTTGGCCTTGTTGCGGAAACTTGTTCTCACCTGTTTGTTCTTGCTCTAATACAAGTGGGATCTTGGGTTAATTTTAAGTAGTTGGTTATCCATGATTCATTGAAGATTGATTTCTTCTACCTTGTAGAAGGGCATTCATGCAAACTTTCTTATGATATTTATTTCTAAAATTGGTCTCGTACTTGTTGGTACTTTTGAGTGTCGATATTTGGTGATAAAATACGTTAAAACATGATTATCTCATTGGTCTTTGTTGGTCAAGATGCATTGGGTAAACATACGGAACTGAACTAAAAACTGTTTTGCTTTTTAAAAATGTATATCTTGGCTTAAAGTGACAATCTTTGTTCTTAGGAGATTCTAAATGTACTAATAAAAGATTTAGAATTTGCCCTTAATGGAATGAAACTTGTAATATTTGGTAAGTACATAATTATACTAGGGAGATGTGTTTGAGAGAAATTCGGAAGCAAGAATACAATAATGAGGGAGAGAATTTAATAAAAGACCACCCCGAGGCGATTGTTTTGGTATAAGATTTGCATCGTATATAGAGTTTTGAGGATGTTCTCGATACTTTTCATTTTTCTGGTTTTCGTGCAAACTTGATTTCCTTTTCGGCATGAGCTTGTAAAAAAAGCCACATTTAAGGGGACGCCATCACAGTCGTTTTGCCTAACCAACCATGTGAAATGACCCTGGATTTGAAGATGTGCTTGGGATGATGTAAGGAGGTTATCAAAGAGAAAGAGATAGGAGTATCCCCACTTTCCATGAAGATGAGAAGAGACCATGTATCCTTTCTTAATTCTCTCTCAATTGCAAATAAGGAGGACAGCTAACTCAAAGGCTTAGGCTCCTTTCTGCAATATGAGCTATACTTTACCAAAATGCACACCTTATGCATCACTAGAACTTGCTTAACATTATTCACCTTTAAGAAATGAAGGCTTAATGCTTGGGAGTCAAACATCCATGTATATATAATTTCTATTTTTTACAAATATAAATTTGAAACTATATGCAACTAATGTTCAAATAGCTCTTTTTGCTTGAAGAAGATGTGGTGAACTTTAAGGTAATTGTGATATCTTATGAATTTTTTCATTTCTTACTTGGTTATGACCTGTTGCTACAGATATGGCTATGACCTTGCTTTTGTATGATTTTACACATTCTACTAGTGCTCCAAACATGGGTATATTGTTAATTTATGCTTCACCTCACTAACTAAAGGAACCAAGAAAAATAAGAAGAAGAAAGTATGCGTATCTGTTATTTTATTGCATCTGGTGGGTTGCCTGCACTGCTACATAAGTTAATTTCTGTATCTTTTTGTATATCTCGATAATCCCTACAATGGCTCTGAAAATGGAAATATTGGATTTGTGCTTAACTTTATAAATATAGGCTGTTCAAGTGTGCCATTCTTATCTCTTCAAGCATTAAATTCTGCAGTTGTCACTGTAACGCACACCGCAAAACTAGATACCTTCTCATCCGCATTCAAATGTTTCATATACAACATTATGGGTGGTCATTAATTAAATGTACAGTCCATTAAGAGATCTGACAACCTGATTAGTCTTTCATTAGATGGCTGACAGAAGTATCTAATTTTGCAATACTTTTGATAAGCTCATTGATGGCTCTGGATTTTTTCCTTTCTTGACTTCCTAGATTTGAAGCCGACTGTCATCCTTTCCCGGACCTTCAGACTCTATGTTCCTGAGCTGGACATTCTCAGCTTGACAAGGTTACCATGCTTCTCTGTAGTTACCGGCCTTCATGTTTCTCAAAAAATGAAAAGAATTTAAAGCCTTCATCCTTGTTTTATGACCATCCCTTTCCTCCTCTTTCTCAATCCCCATTTTCATTTTTTTTCCCTTTAACACTGTGGATGAGTAGCTATCCTGATCACTGTGAGATCAGTCATTCTTTTTTGGCATACCCATTCCTAGTTTTATCTCTAATAACCTAACCCTTGAATGGATCTCTTCAACCTCCACCACCATATCCTCCAAAATGTTGGTTCCATACTCCAAATCAAGTTATAGCTCAACTAAAAGAAGACATGCCATGATATATCAAGTATCAAACTTATCAACGAACATCATCTATCAAAATACCCTGTTTTAGTCTTAATCTGCCTGCACAGGAGAAAGTCATTTATTCATTGCCAGTGGCTTTGAATCTCTGGGACGCCTTTTGCAAATACTCCACTTTCATAAGTGGAAGACTTTCTTCCATTAATCCACAATGTGTTTCTATATATGCCACTACTAGATCTCTTCAATCCCCAAAACTTACTTTGCGAAGAAAATCAATTGGTGGCCACCAGATTAGAATTACAGAGGTGTCATGATTAAAAAATAAACCAACATAGGTTTAACATTGGACACCATTGTGTATAGGGATTGAGTTGCCTTGAGGTGTCATGAGCTACAAGTTGAACGTTCAAGTTCAGCAAACTTTGCTATTAATGCTAATCGCCAAATAGTTAATAACAATAAATATATATGCTGCCATGCACATTGTTAATCTACTTGGTAACATGGTAGAATTCATGTTTCTCCATGTGCGCTGGAACTGCATATAGATGACCTAATGACCTATGCTTTCACTTATCCTTATTGGGGCCAGAAACCTGCAAATTTTAGCTTGAGGGACGTTGTTGAATTTTCTTTTCCCATTAAAAATCATTGGGTTTTTTTTTTAAAACACTTTTAGTAGTCTGTTTATTTATTTGTTTGAGAGACCATTGGTTGTACTTGTTTTTTTATCCATACATAACTTTCAGAAATTTCCACTTATTGAATGGGTTGACATATTGAGTTTGGCATGATTTACTCATAAATGACAGCACTTCCATTATGCCCAGTATTGATTATTGCCAATCACAAATTTTTTTCTTGAAGTTTTTGCCATCAAATTAAGAAATCTGAGTTTGATTTTTAACCTTTGCAAAATGTTGAAATCTATTTTGAGTACTTTCCCTGTTGTTATTGGGTATTTGGGTTCTTGCATTATTATGGAAATTAAAATTTCTTTTCAATACAATCAAAATATACCTCCAAGGTTATTCCCATTATTGAGTCATAAAGACAATTGTCATTAAAGGATTTGCATTCCTTGCCAGGGAAAGGCTTTGCCCAAGGAAGGATGTGCCTAGGCAAGCTTGAAGTTTACAGGGTTACAGATTTTGAAAAAGTTTGGAGCTGCAATCTTGTCAAGGGAAAGAGCAAGGGGGCGACTTTCTATAGGCCAATTGGGATCCCCAACGGCTTCTTCTGCCTTGGTCACTATGCGCAACCTAATGACCAGCCTTTAAGGGGCTTCGTTCTCGTGGCCAAAGATCTCTCTACCCCTGAACCAAAGTTGGGTCAATCCCCTAAAAGAGTGACCGACTTGCCTGCCCTTCAAAAACCCCTAAATTACACCTTGGTTTGGGGCTCTAACGAGTGGTCTGATGAGAGCCAAGCACTGTTTGGCTGTGGTTACTTCTGGTTACCTTACCCGCCCAAAGGTTATAAAGCAGTGGGATTTGTGGTCACCAATTCCTCAGATAAGCCTTCCTTGGAAGAAGTGAGATGTGTTAGGGCTGATCTCACCGAACCCTGTGCAAGCCATGGCTTGATACTCAGCACAGTTTCGACCTTGCCCAAATTCCCCTTTAGGGTTTGGAAGACCAGGCCCTGCCATAGGGGAATTGAGGCTCGTGGGGTCCCAGTTGGCACTTTCTATTGCAGCTCCTACTTTAATTCTAGCGAGGATTTGAGTATATCATGCCTAAAGAACTCTGAGCCATCCCTCCATGCCATGCCTAACCTCGATCAGGTCCATGCCCTAATCAAGCACTACGGCCCCACGGTTTATTTCCACCCTGATGAGATCTACTTACCCTCTTCTCTATCATGGTTTTTTGACAATGGGGCCTTGCTATACAAAAGAGATGAGGCTCGTGGTGAGCCTATAGATTCTCTGGGCTCCAACCTTCCTCAGGGTGGTTCAAATGATGGGAAGTATTGGCTAGACCTGCCTAGCAATGGCGATGAGGAATGGGTCAAGCTAGGAAACCTGGAAAGTGCAGAGCTCTATGTTCATGTAAAGCCCGCTTTAGGGGGCTCATTCACTGATATTGCAATGTGGATTTTCTGCCCCTTCAATGGCCCTGCGACTATTAAGATTGGCATGGTCAATGTGGCACTAAGTAAGGTAGGGCAGCATGTGTGTGATTGGGAGCACTACACTCTTCGGATTTGCAATTTTAGTGGTGAATTGTGGGCAATATATTTCTCTCAGCATAGTGGGGGTGAGTGGGTTGAAGCATGGGATTTAGAGTTTGTAGAGAATAATAGAGCTATCATTTATTCTTCGAAGAGCAGTCATGCCAGTTTTGCTCACCCAGGTAACTATCTTCAAGGGGATAACAAGCTGGGAATAGGCGTGAGGAATGATGCAGAAAAGAGTGATCTCTTTGTGGACTCCAGCGTTAGGTATAAGATAGTGTCAGCTGAGTATTCAGGGGAGGATTGGGTCAAAGAACCTTGTTGGTTGCAGTATATGAGGGAGTGGGGTCCTACTATTGTGTATAATTCGAGATCCGAGCTGGAGAAAATTATCAGTCTTCTTCCTGTTTTGGTACGGTTCTCAGTTGAGAACATCTTCAATAGGCTCCCTATGGAGCTGTATGGGGAGGAAGGGCCAACAGGGCCCAAAGAGAAAAACAACTGGGAGGGTGATGAAAGAAGTTAGTGTGTATGCTACTCTCTTTCTGAAAGAATCCCGTGTCATTTGGCTTCTCTCCTTGGGTTCTATCTGGCTCAGTGAGGCAAGTAGCCTGCAGCTGATTGTTTTCATTTTTTAGATGTGTATATCAAAGTCACCACGATAGCATCTTTGATGCTTCCGGGCCCTGCTTTTTGTGTTTCAAAACAAGTAGTATTGCCAAATGAAAGGCATACAATAATCAGTGTGATACTACATTATTGTAAAACCCATAGATCAGTACACGTAGGTATACATTCTAGCCAATATGTTTTGCAAGCAGGAGACGTGGTTGAAAATGTTTGGCTTCTGACTTTTTTGTCTCTTGCAAGATCCTATTGTTTGAATTACTCGACATAGAAGCGCGAAGTGAGATCCAAAGTTCTGTAATGATTGCGTATCGATATTCTTCCCCAGTAGGAAATTTTGGGTTTATAATGGATGTTTGAGATATTCATCGGCATTTTTCTTTTGGTTCTCATCTGATGATGCCTATATATAAAGACGCTGGCCATTGTCTCATAAACCTCCACAAAAGATTTACTTGCCCATCAAAGTTTTCAATGCGGGTGAGTCTCAGTAAGCTTCATATACGCAAGGAGCATGGACGCAAGAAGCATGGGTGTTGCTTGTGGACATGATGTTATCAAGCTAGACATGTACTCACTTTGTTGGATTGGGATTCTAGTTGAGTACTGCCAATGGTTAAAGAGTGCTGTCTTAAGTCATGCACTTCTAGTAGTGTTTCAGGCAAGTAATTGCACCTTCCTCCAGAAAGTTTTAGAAAAACATTATGCAGTTGTGGTCCAAGTCAAGGACGCTGATTCTTCCTGCTGTTTAAAGGTCTTATAGTGCTCCCTCGTGTGAGTTGTCGATAAGCCTATATAATGTGGTTACATGTGTGTGGTATGTTGACTCACCAAATGGACACTCATGGTTGACACTTAAAGACACTTCTATTAATCTTTCTTGTTGAAATATCACAATATAATTACTTCAACGTTTACCTTCTCTTCTTTGTCAAAACGATACTAGTTTGTTGTGTTTGAAAGACTAATTTTGGAGTTGACATTTTTAGCACTTGTATCTTTGTTTAACACGTGTACAAATGTTTGCATCTTTCAAACACAGCAAATAGGCACCCTAGTTGGTCATTGAGCTTCTAAAACTTGTACCTTTCGTTAGCTTGCTCATATTCAGTGTTTCAAAACATGGATCGGTTGTGTGGATCATTCACCTAGTGTCAGATCATTGGATTGATGGGCTGGCTCGGGTCTCATTGGTTTGAAATGGTGATTCAAAAAAATTTAAAAATATATGAAATAAACTAAAATAGCGGTTTATGGGGTAGCAATTTAGAGGAGATTTAAAAAAAACAGGGAAATTATCGTTAATATACTTATATTTTAAAGAAATTGAAAAAAAAATTCCAACTTTTTAAAACCTTGCCTACACTTTTTTTCCCCATTTTTGTGATTTTTCGGACGGAAATGCCCTTTACGGTAGTTTTTGTACGTAATGTCGGTATTCGTAGTACCGTAATACATTGAATTACGGTACATAGAGTACCCTAATACACATAACAAATATTATGGTACTTGGAGTACCATAATACTGTAAAAATATATTACGATACACATTGTACCGTAATACAACTTAAAATTTTTACTGTAGTTTTATTACCATACGTTGTTTAAAATCTATTATGGTACTCGCAGTACTGTAATACTTCCTAGTTGATACCGTATAAAGCTTAAGAACCCAAAACCCCCCATTGTGTTTGAAGAAATTATGGTCTTCATTTTGCCGTTAGAAGGCTGCTGAGGTGTTCTCGATCTCGATCCCTCTCTCCCTCATCACATATTTCAAGTAAGAAATAGTTGTTGGATTATAAACCCAAATCCTACAAGATTAATTTCAGAGATTCACATTTGCTTTTAGAGTTCTTTGAGCACTAAAAAGAACTTGCAAATCGATTGATTGTTGGCTTATTTTTAATATATTGGAATCATCTACAAAATCCGTGTCCTGACTTGCAAATCGATCAAGTTTCATCACGGTATAATTGTTTGTTATTAGGGTTATTTGAGCGAATAAATGCGCATTTTCTCCAACCATCTTTGTTCTCTCTAATTTTTATATCATATTGGATGATTATCAATTTGTTATTAAGTTATTGAAATTAGTTTCGAAAGTCCTCTACAAATTCATGGTTTGTTTACTCCAATATCGATTGAATTCGTGTATCAAAGATGTGATATATATATATATATATGTTCTTTTTCCTTTTTTAGATTGAGATGGTATTTGAAGCCTGATGCTCACTACAAAATGGTTGGGTGTCTCCTCCATTGATGATTTTCTTATTCATCTAGGGCATGTGATTGGGGTCATTCAAAGTCACCCAGCTGATTTTCCTTTTTCATTCTTTTGATTATTTTTTTTTGCTTGTTTTAGTCATCTATAAAGCAAATAAGTTATTATCTATTTTGATATTGTGTCGGAAGATGACAAGATCTAGTTTCGCCACTTTGAGCTGGATTGCCCATAATTTTTGTAATTTTTTTGGTGAAACTTGGAGCGGTTCAATGATTTAGTACCCTATACAATTGATTTGAATAAGATTTGGCGAACTTGGAAGAAAAAAGAAAAGATCTATTTGAGATTTTTTTCACTTCCTAGCTTCATTCTTTATATTTACGATTTTTGCTTTTCATTTGGCATTTACATTATTTTCTATATCATGTGTTCAATTCGTTCTGTGATAAAGATTCAGATATCTACATTTGAATTTGGCATTTTGACTTCCGTTATATTATGTGCATGTGTGTTAGTTTGATATTTTGGGTTATTCTTCTTATAAGCCGTTGTAATAGATATGCTGAGGATAAATATTTCCCTCCTATTTTCTTATCTTTTGATTTAGGTGCAGTCATATTTAAAATATCCTTGAACTCTTACTCTTGACCCACTAATCTACTTGATGGTCATCTCTTTCTATTGGGTTTATTATTTCTTTCTTGCTTTTCTAGTTTTGTTAGGTTGATGATTTTCTTATTCATTTATTTTTCTCATTCATTGTATTGAAGCTAAGGGCTTCTTATTTTTGATGAAATTATTTAGTTTGAGCCACTTAATTGAAGCTACGGACTTCTTATTCTTAATGAAATTGTATGTGTACAAATTAGTTTTTTTACGAATTTTTGACAATAGATTTGGGTTCACTTAAGACTAGACTATGGTTCACCTAATTTTTTTTTTGATATTTGTTTGTTTTTAAGCTGTTAAAATAAACTTGAAAATGATTTCCTGACAACTTCCATGTCAAATGATTTGCTTTTTTCTCCTAACATAAATGTACACCAAGTTATGCATTTTTTCAATAGAATTGATATAAATGTACACCAAGTTAGGCATTTTTTAAGTAGAATTGACATAAATGTACACCATTCAATTTTTAAGTAGAATTGACATTTTTCAACTTTTATGGCATAGATGTACACCATTCACCAAGTTAGGCATTTTTTTAATATTTGTTTATTTTTGGCATGTTTTTAATTAGCATTAGCATCACATTTCATGCTCTCAACTGTTATGGCATGAGTTCTTTGATGTCATGAGTTCTTGTTTGGAATGGAGTGTAAGTTGCAGATATAATGCTTTTAAATATAGGTACCAACTTCATCGGGGACTTAAAGAATACTTTCTAGAACATTAAAATATCATAGTAATGTGTCATTTACTATGAAAATGTTTATCATATATTAACTCTTAAAGTTGATAGTAATTGCCAATGTAACTTGCATAATCACCAATAGTAATAATGATTAGTCTTTGGCTTTTTGATTTATGATGGCTCTTTGATGCATGATAGCTTTTTGAATAGTGATCATGGCAGAAGATGCGCCTTTCCCTGGAGGTCGTGAGATTCCTACAATGCTCACTCGATAAAGAGAACATATATCATAGAAGATCTGGGAAGGAAATGTATGTGCAAGTATTTAAAATTATATTCTTTGTCTATCATGTTAGTTAATCAATATATTTATTGTAGTATCTGAAATGACAAATTCTATATCAGGATCGAAAAAATACTCTTAGGATTGATGAGAAGCCCAATGCAAATTTGTCATGGCCGTTAACAAACAGCGATCGAATTGATATCTTAACTCTTAAAGTTGACAATAATTGCCAATGTAACTTGCATAATCACCACTTGTAATAATGATTAGTCTTTGGCTTTTTGATTTATGATGGCTCTTTGATGTATGATAGCTTTTTGAACAGTGATCATGGCAGAAGATGCGTCTTTCCCTTGAGGTCTTGAGATTCTTACACTGCTCACTCGACAAAGAGAACATATATCACAGAAGATCTGGGAAGGAAATGTATGTACAAGTATTTAAAATTATATTCTTTGTCTATCATGTTAGTTAATCAATATATTTATTGTAGTATCTGAAATGACAAATTCTATGTCAGGATCGGAGAAATACTCTTAGGATTGATGATAAGCTCAATGCAAATTTGTCATGGGCGTTAACAAACAACGATCGAATTGATTTGGTTAGGAGATCAGGATTGTATCCTCTGACCGTAGTATCGATGAGTCAGCATGACCGTGGCACATTATCTACAATCATTGAGAGGTGACGTGCTGAGACGAATACAGGGCACTTCAATGTAGACATCGGAGAGATGATGCCTATACTTGAAGATACATGGAAAATTCTCCTGTTAAAAGTGACTTGTGTAGCTGTAAATGTGAGGAGAGTGGAGAACTACGAGAATCATGTAGTCCGCATGATAGAAAAGCTGCCACCTGATTGTAGCCATTCCTTTATCCGACTGACATGGCTGAGGAACACGTTTAAGCAGCTACCGTAGAACTATAACCGTACCACTCTTCTACGATACACTCGTGTCTACCTCTTATATCTAGTCGGGTGCACAATATTTGCGGATTCCACAGATGGTACAGTTCCTATAATCTATTTACAACATTTTGAGGATATCGAAGTAGCTGGTCAGTATGCATGGGCTGCAGCTGCATTAGCATTTTTTTTTCGAGCCTTGTCAAAAGTTGTTTATACTGATCATCAACACCTAAGTAGAACAACCACTCTTTTGCTGGTAATGGTAGTATATTAGTTTTTACAAAATTCGATAGATATTTCTTATTGTGATTCATATTTTTTTATACTTGTATTTCAGTGTTGGGCGTATGAGCATTTCAAATTGTTGTGCCCAATTTCAAAAGAAATATGGGTTGGGCTACCTAGATCCCTTAGGTGGACCCCTTTTAGAGAATGGAATAACACTCGCAACTTCGGTTTCATGGGGCGACAAGAGCTTGATAATGCACGGATAAATGATGTTAGTATAGTATAGTTATAATTTGTTTTGTTTATTTATAATATTTAGGTACATGTTATATATCTTTAATTTTGTCTTATTTTTGTCATAGGTCATATGGACCCCATACGATGATTATCCTGACATAGGAGATGAAACTGCAGAGGACAGAGAGTATGGGCTTCATGTCTTTGAGACTGCTTTGTATCGCACATACCTCATAGATGGACACATCTGTGAGGGGTATATGTCAGATTATGTGCTCCAGCAATTTAGACTTCACCATGGGATATCGGCAGATCTCTTGCAGTGGGAGAGGAGGGAGAAAAGGGAGAGAAGGGAGAAGAAATATGACAATTGGGGATATGAGCTTAGATATGAAATCGATATGTGGATGAACCACTTAGATTATTTTTGTCAGGCAGATAAAGATATGTGCACTGGGAAGCTGACACAATAATACATCGAGTGGTACAAATTAAGGACCAGCCCTTGATCTATAATCCATTTAAAAAACGTCCCTTCAAATATGCACCTCGAGGTTATAATGATGAAGATAGAATGATAATAATTTACTTTCATATTTCATATAATTTGATGCAATTTAAAAGTCTCAATAATCTAATTTTATATTTGATATGACTTGATGCAACCTAGGGACATCAGCCATGGAATTGAACTTCTACGTGAATGTTGGAATTCAAGAAATTGGGACCTAGCTGAGGAAGCATTACAGATACTTAAAATATATGACCTAGAAGTTATAGGGAAAGAAGCATCTAAAGAGTTAGAGTTAGATAATGAGATGGATGACAACGTGTCAGTATGACATCCTTCTCGACTAGATGAGGGTCAAGTAATACATAACTCATCCCCACTCCGTTTCAACCAGAAGAGCCCAAATGGCAGTTGTGTCCTCGTATTGCAAGAAGGGAGGAGAGCAGCTCACAGTATCAGAGCAGCTTTAATACAAAGAACCTGATTCCACAGTGGGCTGAGAAGCTGCCAATACGACGAAAGCGTTTATGATGTGTACTTAGCTAGATGCTTGGTTGAATGCATGGTTGTAAATAAGCCAGTAGTGCTTAAACTGTATAAGCGGTCATTAGTGCCTATATTGTTTTATGTACATGGCTTTGTATGTGACTTGCTTTGTATGTCAATTGGTTTGTATGTGAATTGCTTTGTATGTCAATTGGTTTGTATGTGAATTGCTTTGTATGTCAATTGGTTTGTATGTGAATTGCTTTGTATGTCAATTGGTTTGTATGTGAATTGCTTAGGTACATCACATGCTTGACATTCTAAAGTCAGTAAGGCTTTCCCTCTTATAGTATGTAGTTGGAGCAACTCATATAACACCTCAAGATGCATTACATATTTAGAGATGAAAATAATTAAGCTTGTATATCAAATTCTTGATAGACACTATTTTTTAAGCTTTGTATATCAAATTCTTATACCTTTGTATATCAAATTCTTGTTAGACACTATTTTTTAAGCCACACCCTTGATATACACTATTCTTGTATATCAAATTCTTATAGCTTTATGTATCAAACCACACCCTTACGTATAGGTCAAATATCACAATATACAAACCACACCCTTCTACTGTAAATTCAACATAAGATTAAGATGAATATAAATATAATTAAAAAAAAAAAAACTCAGCACGATCGTTGTAAGACCGTAATTCATCTTCAGACCATTATGGTACTAAGATGAATTACGGTCTCAAAAAAGTTATTTTAATTATATAGATATTGATCTGAATTTTATGTTGCATTTACAGTTGTTAAAAATAATGTCTTTGTAAAAATAGTGAACATGAATTACGGTCTTAAAAAGACTGTAATAGTCAAAATGTTTATGGAAATCCAATAACCTTTTTATCATTACGGTCTTTGTAAGACCGTAATTCATCTTCATACCATTACGGTACAAAGAATACCGAAATGGTCTGACCATTCATTACGGTAATTCTAAAAATATTACTAGATTTCCAGTAATTTTTTGAGAATCACGATATTTATTAGACTGTAATTCATCTTCATACCAATACGGTAGAAAGAATACCGTAATGCCGTAATGGTCATTACGGTATTCTTTGTACCATAATGGTTTGACCATTCATTACGATCTTATCAAGAAAGACCGTAATGCTAAAATAGTAACTGGATTTCCAGTAACTTTTTGAGAAATTCATCTTCATAGCATTACGGTACAAAGAATACCGTAATGGTCATTACAATATTCTTTGTACCATAATAATCTGACCATTCAGTATGGTCTTACAATGTAAGACCGTAATGCTCAAAAAGTTCATGGATTTGTATTGGAAAGTAATGGTCATTACAATATTCGTACTACCTACAAAGACCGTAATGATAAAAAAGTTACTGGAAATCCAGTAACTTTTTTAGTGTATTTGGAAGACCGTAATGAATGGTCAGATCGTCAACGCAAAAAGAATACCGTAATGGTGTGAAGATGAATTACGGTCTTACAAAGACCGTAATGATAAAAAAGTTACTGAAAATGATCTGACCATTTCCAGTAATTTTTTGAGCGTTACGGTCTTCGTAGACCGTAATGAATGGTCATACCATTACGGTACTAAGAATACCATAATGACCATTACGGTATTTTTTGTACTGTAAAGGTATGAACATTCATTACAGTCTTATAAAGACCGTAATGAGAAATTATTATTATTTTTTAAATTATATTGATATTCATCTGAATCTTATGTTGCATTTACTGTAGAAGGGTGTGGTTTGTATATTGTGATATTTGACCTATACGTATGGGTGTGGTTTGATATACAAAGCTATAATAATTTGATATACAAGAATAGTGTATATCAAGGGTGTGGCTTAAAACATAGTGTCTAACAATAATTTGATATATAAACTTATAAGAATTTAATATACATCTGTTAAAAAGTAGTGTCTTTGTAAAAATAGTTAACATGAATTACAATATTACAAATACCGTAATGGTAAAAAAGTTTCTGGAAATCCAATAACTTTTTTAGAAGTGTGTGGTTCATTTATCATTTTTTTCTCTCTCTTTTTGTTAGACTTCCATAACTGAAGATGAATCAGGTAAGGGTGTGGTTTGTATATGGCTAAGGCTCTAAACAATCAAAGTAAGGTGCACCTTCAAATTGGATAGCCTAAAGAGACCATTTATTATATAGATAGAATGAGACCATTTAGCAAAAAACTGGATAGCTTGATATCATTAATATCAATACGCACTGACCTCTTTACAAAATGACATATCAGAAAAAGATCAACTGGCACTAATGGCCTATTTACATTAATTTTATATACGCGACTTACATGTCTTTCAGTTATGGCCCACAACCTCGCATCGACTACACTTAAGATGCCTAATCTCTTTGTACTTTGTTTGCTTGCGAATTTTCTTTGGCCAACCTACAGTTCGCCTTGCAGCTGGTGGCATTACAATTGCATAGACAATATATGACAACTCTAGTACATCAGGCATTGGGTTGAAGGGAAGGGAATATGCTGTATGGTACATTTGAACTGTGAAATAGATGTCGCAATAATTTGTAACATCTTCATGCCTATGACCTATAGCGGTGATTGCATGATTGCACGACAACCCACTAACCTGCCATACCTGACAACTACATGTATGAGTCGTCATATTAAGAGCATATTTCTTATCCGCATTGCTCTCATACATACCATCATGTACCCATGTGATTGTATGAAGGAATCTGGACTTATCCCTCCTCATATCTATTACCTTTTGGGCCTTTGGTGTAAGCATGCTGCTCCATTCTAAGAACATGGTCATCTTCTTTGAAAATTCTCCCATGAACTTAACCCTTAAGCATTCAAGGAATTGAATAAGGGGCTTCTCCCGGGCCTATAATATCTACCGGTTAAATGATTCAGAGATGTTCGATGTAAGATGATTGTATCTATACCCCTGAAAATATGTGTTTGCCCAATATTTCGAATGCTGAAACATGATCCAGTCATAGGCCTTAGCATTTTCACTCTTAATCTTTGCCATGTATTCATCAAAGTCTGATATAGTCAATGCACGTACAGCTTTCCATTAAAGCTTTGTAAGCGCCAAATTTCTATAGGCCTTTTTGAAGTTATCAGCAAGGTGATTCATATAATAGCCTTGTTCACCGGTTGGAAATACTGTTTCAATTGCGACTTGTAATCCTTTTTGATGATCTGAGAAAATAGTCAATGCTGGCAAATGAGTGGCTGATGAACTCTACCTATTGCCCCGACACATGAGTGTACGTTTACCAACTTCTTTACCCTAAAGAATTTTGTAGTATTAACCTTCCAACAGTGCACTTGCCATGAACAACCATCTGCAACACACCTTGCCCATACCCGTCTCCCCTCACTTTTTATGAACTTCATATTGAACTTTTGTGATATGGCATAACCAATAAGATGATTACGGCATGTATGTACATCATCAAAATCCTAGTCATCTTGAAGTACAATTTCGTAACGGTTAATCCTCAGGGAGCTTTCTATCGGATTGATGTCGCCCATATGCTATTCAATTTCTTATTCAACCTCATCTTGTATGTCTATGCCAGCACAATATTCACTGTGACCTATTTGCTTTGGTCGGGATGTGCTGTAGAAAAAAAAAATAAAGACAAGTAAGAATTATCCGAAAGCATAACGAAAAAAAAACGACAACTAAGAAAATTAATGATTTCCATTGCAAACTTCTTACTTGACCAATCTTGATGGATCATTATCGGGCATTGTTGGTGGTCGATATTCAGTGCAGTCAGACGAACCAATATCAGGCATTGTTGGTGGTTGATATTCAGACTCAATATGTTTGTTTGATACATACATAGCAATGGAAGAAGCCCCTTCTATCATGTTGGCAATGTCGTCATCATCATCAATACGTATCATATTACTTGATAACCTTGGGTCAATATACCTAATAGTCATAGTACTTGGGGTATAATTTGATACTTTTGACAAGTGATCCTTGACTTGTCCAAATTATGGGATTCCCTTAAAAAATATAACCTTTACATCCCCACCGTCATAAAAAATACTTCCATTAGGTTTCCTATTGAAAAATCCACCAAAGTGTAAAACAATTTTCACTCTATTCTCACCCATTATTGATGCGTAAAAGCTGAATCACTGCAGAGAAATTTCATATGGAAACATGAAAAAATTTCTAAGAAGAAGTTCAAAATGCTTAGAAATAGTGAGGAGGTTGCATGAGGAACATTAGATTGTAATACAATTGTCATAATATAAAAAAAAATTACAATGGCCATCCAAACTACATCAGCTATTATTTTGATGGCCAACCATTAAATAAATTATCATAATATAAAAAAATTGTCATCCAAACTACAATTGTTATAATATAAAAATAATTAGAAAACATATTTTGATGGCCAACCATTAAATAAATCTAAAACTTATTTATGCAACAATATAAATAAATCTAAAACTTATTTATGCAACAATATAAATAAATCTAAAACTTATTGATGCTACATAATAATTTTTTTTAGACGCTAAAAACAACAAAATATTTTGATGACATACCTAAAAATTAGTTGGTGTGTAAATTTGATCATCTCATTGACCTCCTTCGAAGATTGATAAATAATAGATGATATGATAGAAAATAGATGAGAGAATGGATGAGAGAGATAAAACAAGGATGAAAGTGCTAAACAATTTGTCAAAATAGGGTTTTATGAAAAAATTGGTTAAAAAAAAGTGGAAAAAAATTATGGTAACTCTATTACCGTAAATTTTTTTGGAAACACTATGGTACTATGGGTACCGTAATTGTTTTTTAAACCAATACGGTAACATACTACCATAAAACTGTTTTTTATTAACACGGTACTCTTATTACCGTATAAGGGCAACTAAACATTACGGTATCGAAAATACTATAATTCTTTTTATGGTACAAAGACTACCATAAAGGGTAGTTTCGTCCAAAACTTCACAAAAATGGGGAAAAAGAGTGTGGGCGAGGTTTTGTGAAGTTAGGATTTTTTTTTTCAATTTCTTGAAAATATGAGTATATGAGCGATAATTTCCCAAAAACATAAGACACACTAAAAAAAAAAAAATAGAAATTATTAAATATCCTCATATTTTAATGAAATATACAAGCCTCATCCATACTCAATTCT